CGATTTCATATTTAAAATTAAAATGTTCCTTGTATCTAAACTGTAGCACCCATGGAGGTTGCTAGATGTTACTGTTTGTCTACTAAATGTAAATATTACAAGCAGTGACACTGACAGTAAGTACACATACACCTCGCAAGCCATCAAAAATAGCAATATAACAAATGAATTGTTTACATCAAATTGCAGAACAAATATGTCTGTCTCAATTTTTCCATTAATCCTCTCAGTCATTCCAATGCTTTTCCATCAGTGGTTAATTTCTCCATTTACTCATTTGTTTATTCTTCCACTCGGCTCTTTGCTCATCCATTAGTTGACCCATCCAATTCTTTATTCATTCATTCATTCAAAATATGTGTCCTCCTGTCAAGTATATGTCCATTCATTATTATTTATTTGTTCCAGAGTTTGTCCACTCAATCAAGTTCCTATTCATATGCAAAGTTGGCTGATTAAAAAAGTGCTGATGAGGTGGTGCAACACTAAAGTTTCAGCAGTACTCTGACTAAACTCATTCTCCCTTACATCACAACCCACTAGATGTTAGTGATTTGAGCCCCAGATTCGAACCTTGTATTAACAGTGGAAGCATCTCACGTTTTATTTTGTCATGTGGATAATAACATGGTGGGCTGTAAAGATTTACAAACACAGGATCGTCTCAAAATTGCTGCAAACTGCAAGCCTAGCTTTGAAGGTAACAAATTATGTTCAGTTTCAGGTTTATATTGTAATTTAAAGGTTCTATTAGAAAACGTTTACACCCTTGTATGTTCATAAAGTTCATTTGTTCCCCTCTGTGTGAACATGCTCTGTTTTAGCTCCTGAACCCCCTCCCTAAAAGCCCAGTCTGCTTTGATTAGTCAACTCCCTACGGTGCTGAACAGGAGCTGCCTGCCAACTCCAAGCTGTGTTTCCGGATTCCGGACAGCTCTGGTCTTCGGTGTTAGCTCTGTTAACATCGTTAGCCACTGTTAGCTGCATTTCTACACTAAATTTTACCGAGCAACCTCAGGCTCTGCATTTCTCTCCACATCCTCTGGTCACAGTGCAAAAGCAGGATGTAAAATATATCCACAAAACTGTGTGCAGTCGAAAAATTCAGCTTTTACGATGGCACCAGTGGCTGTCAGGCAAACACACATGGATGCGTAACTGCCTAGAAATTATGACCATTCAAGGAGATCCTTAAACTATCACGTAACAAAAGTCTCACAAGTGAGAGTTTGTGAGATGTGTATAAACCGAGTTGCTTCTGCATTGAAGTACTAAAACATACGCATACTTCATTTTTGAGCTTTGGGTCACATCGGCTCTCAATGTGCAAACAGTAAAACAGCATAAGGCTGTGTAACCGCTTCTAAACCAAAAGCTAAACGACCACAGATGTTCGAGCAGGAGCCTGCTACTGTTTATACACAGAGTTTAGTGCTGTTACAACACTGCTAGAAAAAAAAAGCTGAAAAAAGTTACCACCACCCAACCCAACCCACTACTCAAAGGAAATCTGGCTAAAGATTCACACAAATTCTCTGGCAAATTCTGACTCTTCACCAATATTACTAACCCTAACACTTAATCTGTTTCTTCTATTTGATCTGTAATACAATCTAATGTTAGCCATTTTAGCTGTGCAGCATTACATTGTTGCTAATGTGGCTAAGTTAAACAAGCTAATTTCATACACAAGCAGTAAAATAATTTTAAAATAGCAACTCTTACAGCATCAGGATGTGAAGCAGACTGTTGTAACATTGTACATAAGTCAGAAAACAAAAAATCATGCAAAGAGCTTTTTTAACATCATCAGTAATACGTTTTTATTGCTACACCCTACCCAGAATTTGGAAAAATAATATGGCATACTATTTATTTGAGTATGAAAGTTCATTGTTTACTTTGGGAATAGTAGTTTGACAAAATAATATTATTTTGAGATCCACATATATTGGCTTTTGAGGAGCTTTCAAGCATGTCACATAGACTGTGAGATTTGTTATTCAATCTATATTATTCATGGCCTCTGCCTAATTACACCACAGTCCAGTACACCTGCAAAGCAGCTCCCTTACTTAGATGCAGAGTCTCTCATTTTTCCTGTAAGACTCACATTAAGGGCCTTCACTGGCATCTAACATGATTAGCATAATCTGTGATGTTATCTTCACACAGTCAAAAGAAAAAAATGTATGTCATCATAGTTTCGAAATAAAGTTGTAATGCACTGTGGGTTACCTCTCCTGCATCGTTTGTGACAGCACTGTCAGCTGAAGTGGCAACTCTATTGGATGGTAACACAGGAAGTGGTCCCAGTGTCTGTCTTCTGTATCAGAGCTGAGAGCATCAAACTGTGAAGAAAAGCGTGTGAAGAAACAAGGTGTGCATCACACTGCTTTGCCCTCTTTTTCCATCAGCCTTCTTCCTATTTCATTTAAAGGACACACATTTTGCAGAATTCACTTTTAGAGCATTCTCTGACATTCACATGGGTCTCCGGTGTGTAGAGACACAAAACATGAGAAAAGAGCAGTCCCTGACTGTTTTGCTTTTTCTGCATTTGTAAAAACCTCTGCTCAAGCATGCCATTTGGATTTGTCTTTCTTTATGATGTAGTGTGAAATGACAACAGTTGATTGCATAGATTCTTCTCTCACTCAGGTTCGTTTTTAGTAGTTTTTGTGATTTTCCTGATCGAACAGCAGACAAACAGCAACATGGCACACCTCAGAGGAAAGCAAAGATTCTGCTTGGTTGTTTGTTGCACAAACAAGCACAGACATTTTTACCTACTTCCATTCTCAGAGCCAGCGAGGACACAATGGCTATTGTTTATTTATTTTGGAAAAATTCCTGAAGATATCCCTAAAACATTGTATATTATATGTTAATGCTAATCATTTCATGTCAGAGTGCTTTCTCAGTAAGGGTCAGTATTGGATTTGCATCCATACTGAAGCTCAAGAATGTATCTGTTCCAACTGTCCATGAGTCTGCTTCACGTCCTGATGCTGTAAGAGTTGCTAACATTAGATTGTATTACAGATCAAATAGACGAAACAGATTAAGTGGTAGAGTTAGTAATATTGGTGAAGAGTCAGAATTTGCCAGAGAATTTGTGTGAATCTTTAGCCAGATTTCCTTTGAGTAGTGGGTTGGGTTGGGTGGTGGTAACTTTTTTCAGCTTTTTTTTCTAGCAGTGTTGTAACAGCACTAAACTCTGTGTGTAAACAGTAGCAGGCTCCTGCTCGAACATCTGTGGTCGTTTAGCTTTTGGTTTAGAAGCGGTTACACAGCCTTATGCTGTTTTACTGTTTGCACATTGAGAGCCGATGTGACCCAAAGCTCAAAAATGAAGTATGCGTATGTTTTAGTACTTCAATGCAGAAGCAACTCGGTTTATACACATCTCACAAACTCTCACTTGTGAGACTTTTGTTACGTGATAGTTTAAGGATCTCCTTGAATGGTCATAATTTCTAGGCAGTTACGCATCCATGTGTGTTTGCCTGACAGCCACTGGTGCCATCGTAAAAGCTGAATTTTTCGACTGCACACAGTTTTGTGGATATATTTTACATCCTGCTTTTGCACTGTGACCAGAGGATGTGGAGAGAAATGCAGAGCCTGAGGTTGCTGCATGTCCGGGAATGAAGTACAGACATGTCCAGGACAATTTCATGTTGAAAGACATGACAGCAGTTAGATCAGTGGAAAAAAACTAATTTTAAAAGCTAATGACAGCAGCTGACTCTCAGTGTAGAGTTGCAGGATGGAAATAACTCACTGCATATATGTTTGTGGTCTTATCAAACATGTTGGATGTGGCTCGTCCATCAGGGAGCAAAAAGTGGAGGGTCATCTTAATTTCTGAAGTGACTGATATGTTTTTGCAACAGTGCTGTTATTAGATAGTATATTAGTAACAGTATACTTACAAGTCACTACCATCGACTCAATACAGCAGGTGAACAAACAGTATGTGAGCAAAGAGCCCTTTCAGCTCAGTGACAAATGAAATCAATGCAAATGAGAGCTCTAGCAAGCAAACCACAATAACTTCCTCCTCACTTCCCTTTCAGATGAAACAGACACACTATGGCCTCAAAAAAGGACCATATGTTAACCTCTTAAACTAATCCAACAGTAGTGCCATGCGGCTGTTCCTTCTTCGTTACGGTAGCCTAAATGCAGCTAACAAGCATCCATGTAGCTTGTTATTGTGCGATTCTCGCCAGCATCCTCTAACCTCACTGTTAAGTTATACTAGAAGCAAAACACAGCACTTCCTGTATTTGCGAATTTCAAAACAAAATCATTATAGCAATGTTTTTAAGTGGTGAAGCTAGTGAAGATGTCAGCGTTATTGATTCTTCCCCGAACAACAGATTTTATACGGCTTACTATAACTAACTAGCTAACTATTTAACTTCCTATGTTCCCATTCAGAGCAACCAGAGTTTTATTCAGACTAACGGTGAACTTTGTGTCTAGTGTGACTAACCCTCACTAGCTTAACGCACACCGGCAGATTCTACCTGTGCACCCCTTTCATTAAATAACACGCTAACATTTTTCATTTAAGAGGATGAAGCGTTACCTCCTTCTTCTTTTGCCCTCCCCCGGGCGGCAAGCATAACACCAGGAGGAAGAAGATAGACAGAACCGTCAGGTTAGCGAACGACATAGCCGAAATAGGAGCCATGACGGAAGGATGCTCGGACTGTAAGACACGTCTCCACGAAAGGATTGGATTCTGAATCGACCAATCAGTGTACAGTTTGGAAGCGCGGTATCGTCTGGGTATTGTAGTTTTTAAGGGTAACAGAGCCTAAGTCTGAACTACTAGCCTATATTCACATAAGGGTGGACTGTTGACAACTTGTGAATGTGTTTCAGTTTCAGAACACTTTAAATTAGTTAGATGGCTAAAGGAATAAAAACTTCTCCCTGACTAAGGTGCAGGCTTGTGACTGGGTCTGCTCTTTGTTAAAAGTGTCAACAAATGTGGCATCTCAACCAAATGCTGCAGAGTTCTCTGTTTCTTTGTCTCATATATTCTGGGAGGTGAGATTGTCACAGACACTTGATAGAGTTAATTGAAGAGGAACAAATGATTTATGTGAAATCAGTAGGGTGACATGTCTCCCTGTTTCCCCAAGAAATTACTCCAAGGCATTGTGTGACTAATGTAATTCAACACATTAGTCTTGCAATTAATATTAGGCTACCTATGTAAACTTTTCATAGACTCAAAGCAGTGATGTCTTTTTATTTATACTAGCAGACATATTAATGTAGGTTTCCAAATGTTTTCTGTCCCCCGTCCCCCTTTTTGTGGGTAAAAATATTTTTAACCCCCTCCAAACACACACAAACACACAACCTTCACCCCATACACATTAGTTCAGTACAATGCAGAACCACAAGGAGCTACCACATCATTACCTTAACACACTCACACACTCTAAAATACCCCATTAGCCTTCTAAGTATCAGAAATGATATTGTACTCAATGATATTCTCTTTTGGCCATTTCATATACTTCCCTGGCTCTATAACCTGGAGATAAGGGAGAGGAAGTGGCTAATATAGTTTACTTTGCATTCACATTCTGTAATGCTAAAAACTTTCTGTCTATAATTTGTTCTCTTATATCTGTGCTTTTGCCTCTTGTGTGCCTGTTCTCTTTCCGGGTGTTCATGGTGGAGAGGCCATTGTGCGGCTCAGGTCCTATCTGTTGGCAGCACCCAGAAGCTGCTTAACATCCTCCCTAATCATGTTCTTCATATGTAATCTAGAATGCTGTCATCCTGACTACAATAAAATTACTATGTTGCTCTATTCTATACACAACATTTCCTTTTGTCCTGGAAGAAAGATTCCTCCTAAACTTTTATGGTTATGGAAATTTTTCCTTATCTGATTTGATATTCTCAGGGACTGAAGATAAAAATACTAACAACATCAATATCAAATAAACTGGACCCTAAAAGAGGTCAACAAAAGATAAGGAAACTCAAAATACAGCAAACTGAACTGCACAGTACCTCAAACAAAAACCATCTGACCACACAAATGGGGAAACATACTGTATATAATGGCTGGCCAAACCAATAACACACACAGGCAAGAGACACAGATACTATCTAAATAATCTACCAATAAACACTGAACAGACAGTCCACTAACAACTAAATATTTTTGTTTAGATGTTAAAAACAAATAACATAATTCGACAAATAAAGTTCTAACATAAACTACTGTTAGGTATTTTTAGTCAGATAGAAATTGGTTAGATACTTTATGTATTAGAAATGTTTAGTGGAGATAGGATGTTTAGTTAGACTGTTAAATGCTTATGCCTGCTTATGAGTTTCTACAGGGTACATCTGGTCAGGGATAACTAGAGAGAAGAGTTGATGATGCAGGTTGGAGGTGCAAGATACCTGAGCGTGTAATGTTAATTTTACCTGTGATCCTTTGAATAAATCAGCACTGTTTTGAAGTTACTTGGACTGCCTCGTCTCTTAGAGTTAGCAATTGTAAGAAGAACCAAAGACCTACACTACAAACAAATAAACAATTTATTTCTTCCAAACTCTCCCTTTTCTTGTATTGGGCACTTGGTACAGTCCAGGCCTGCTGCCAGTCCAATCTTTTGTCCAGCCCACCTCCATCCATGGACCAGGAACACTGTAAGTCAAAACATTTTTTTTACACACATTAACAATACAAAGTTAACCAAATGTGCCTGCTTCAATGATTAATTGTATATGTCCAGTTTCGAATCAAATGCCTAACATCTACCTACAACTTATATCTATACACATAAACTAAGACATATTGGGCTATATAAATCAAATTTGACTTAACTTGATGACCCCTATTGACTCAATTTGGCACTGAGCCACATAATTTTATTTTGAGGAGGTAAATACTGTTGACAATGCTGACAAAAACATCTTCTTCAGTTTCCCTCAGGACATCTTATTCCACATGGGCAACATGATGCAAAATCGTACAGTCCAATCTTTTGTCCAGCCCACCTCCATCCATGGACCAGGAACACTGTAAGTCAAAAAGATTTTTTACACACATTAACAATACAAAGTTAACCAAATGTGTCTGCTTCAATGATTAATTGTATATGTCCAGTTTTGAATCAAATGCCTAACATCTACCTACAACTTATATCTATACACATAAACTAAGACATATTGGGCTATATAAATCAAATTTGGCTTAACTTGATGACCCCTATTGACTCAATTCGGCACTGAGCCACATAATTTTACTTTGAGGAGGTAAATACTGTTGACAATGCTGAAAAAAACATCTTCTTCAGTTTCCCTCATGGGCAACATGATGCAAAATGGTAGATGGCAGAATGTGTCCTGATGTGCAGGGTGAATAGATCATTCCAGCAAGGTGGCAGAGGGGGACTGTGCTAATGACTCAATAGTAGATGCAGGAGTGGATTATTCAAGACCTGACTGTTTGGAAGAAACCTGATAAATCCCCAGATACTGGTCCAATGCTCTAGAATCTTCTGTCAACTAGAAGTGAACAATACTTTAAAAGATAAATCAAATAACATATAAATCAGACAGCAACACAAATGACCACAAAACTCATAAATTAGCGAAGGATAGATCTAGTGTTTGTTTGTTTCACACAAACTCTTTCCATTTCTGTTGCTCTCTTTTGCTCTTTCTCTCTCATTCTCTCTCACGTGCACACACTGCTGAAATGAAACGCATGTCGGAATATTAAAGTCAGTGCACCGTGAAACAACCAGTGTGTGTTGCAGTCTTGTTAAACCACAGTTCATTCACTCTATAGCAGCTCAATCATGGAAACATTCCCAGACTTGCTGGGCTTGGTTGCAAAATTTGTCAAATTATTCCTTTGGAACTGCCTTGCATGGTTATTACGCAGAGCTGAAGGGTCTGAACTTTTTCATGCAAAGGTCACAAAAGTTAATAAGATACACTGCAGGTTGCATCTAGTAGGTTTTTTCTTACAGACGCAGCTGTTTAGGCTACTACTGACTCATCTGCAACTTATTTTCTCAGTTAACTGAAAAAGTAAATACTGAGGAAACCTGTACAGATAAGGATAAGGATAATCACCTTTAAACTCCCTTAGTGTCTCCTAATCCTCCTCAAACAACATGGAAATCAGTCATTCACACAATTTCTCCTTTCCATTTAAATGTATTTCCCATTTCAGATGAGATGAATATACTGTCAATAAGGAACAGTTAGAGGTGCAGAGGGGTGGAACTGGAGGCAGAGAGAGAGGAGGAGAGAGATGGGTGATGTCATTTCCAGCTGGCATAGGACTGGGCGCCCATATCTGAGGTCAGCTGCTCCCTTATAAAAAATAACAAGTCCTGAGAAAAATGATTAATTGCCCAACAGAACAAAGTTTATAGAAAAGAAAGAGAAATGATGGTGGGGCTCCCTAAGTTACAAAGGAGCGGAAAATAGCAAAAATGAGAGCGGGAGGCTGGGAGGGTGTGACATCAAAAGGAAAACAGAGAGAGAGAGAGAGAAATCAAGAGAGATCTCTGGGTAGAGAAGGATTGGTAGTAAGAGAGAGACAGTGAGAGGGATGAAGACGTTGGGATGCGACACAGAGGCACCGAGAGAGCAGAGGTAGAATAGAAGAGAGTCAGACAAACGGAAAGGGAGGAAGTGAGGCATTCATTAATATGATGTTCGTTATCTCTGACCGACTCCCTCAACAAATGTTCCTGTGTGTGCTGTTGAAAAGACATATCTGTGTGTGTGTGTGTGTGTGCACATTTGCCTATGTGTATGTGTTCAGCAAGGCTTTGAAGTTGCAGAAGAAATCTTTAATGTAAACAGAGATGATGCTATCCTGGAGGAGTAATAGGAAGGTTGTCAATCAACAAGATAATGTTGAAACTAAAGAAACTGTCTCTCTAATAATGTAAATTTGGCTCCAAATTCTGTTTATGTCAAATCCATAGCTTATACTACCTGGATGGTTTTAGTTATACATCGGTATACACTGTTTTTGGAGATAAAATTAATTAGTGATGCTGTTAAACACACATTTCTAACTTTGCGGGCACTAATAACTTTGTTTGGAGGTACAGTATGAGTCTATGAGAGAAGATTACTCAGCATATTTGAAGTGTCTTGTTCACCTGCAGTCATAATGTCAAACACATTTTGTATTCTGTTTTAATAATAATGTGGTAACAATGCCCTCCAACATTTAACTTGTCTCCAAGGCAGTTCAGTGTATTGTTCATTCTTTATTTTGTGAGACTTATCAAAATTTAGGGCATATAACCCTAAACATCGAGGCAAACAACATGCCAGAACTCCAGATATGCTGGCCAGGAGTCGTCAGACTGGACTGATGAACATAAAGCTACTCCTCTCCGCCCCATTGTCTCCTCTTTTTTCTTCCGTGTTATCCTCTAGGTTCGTTTTTATATCTTTGCCACCTCCTCCCCTCTATTCTTTTTGCCCCCTCCTCTTCTTCTTTCCTCTTTTTTCTCCTTCTCAGCTGCTCTTCCCTTCCCCATTTGTCTCGCCTCCCCTCTCTTCTGCTCATTCAAAAAGTGTGTGACAAATAATTAAGGCCCCCGGTATAGTCGGCAGGCGGCGACATCTTATTATACAGGTGAAGGATGAGAACAATTTGGACCATAACGAAGAAAGAAAAAAGTTTTGTCTGCCAGTTCGATGTACAACGTGCACAATGTGATTATATAGCTGTAATATTCATAGAAATATACTGTACTCTATCAGCTCAGTGCACCTACATCTTGTTAGGCAAACATGCCTGTCTCTCCCTGGCACGCACGCACACACACGTGCGGGCACAGACGCACACTTCAGACTTTCTGCAGCCTTCTTACAGCCACCGCATTTCTCTCTCTCTCTTTCACATGCACACACGCACGCTCGCGCACGCCGGTGCATCAGTGACTGGAAGAATATACAGTGTAAGCCTTCCTTCGTTCTCTCCTCTCATCTGAACTCAGTTCTCATCTCCTCCCTTCAGCATTTCTCTTACCAAGTCTCTCTGTAGTTCTCTCCCCCCCCTCTCCCTCTGTCTCTCTCTCTTTCTCTCTCTCTCCTTCCCTATTTTTTTCGGGGAGACCTGATATCTCTGGCGGTTTGCCGCATGGAAGTCGCCCAGGCAAGGCATAATATCATCACTCTGATCCGGGCTCCTTCTCTCCAGTTGCCGACCACTGCACGAGCAGACACAGCATCACACTCACATTTACTGGGATCCAACGGTATATAACGGCATTTATCCGCTGACCGACTGTCAGGAGAGTCTAAATCACGGCTTCATTCCAGCAGTGGGGGGAGGCGTTTCTTACTCAGATGTAGGCAAATAACAAAAAAAAGACCTACTAGATCGTCAACTGCGCAAAAGATGCAGCTTTAAACATTACGCACGGCTAATTCTGTTGTATTTCAGTTTCTTTTTTTATTCCCTCAGTCCTCTGCACGGACAAACCAGGGACTAGGGGTGGCGGGGGTCTTCCACGGCGTGGAGTCCTGAATTTACCAAGCGACCCACCGGGAGGAATGAAACTGAGAAAATTCGTCTCCGGGGCGGAATATTAATAACCTAACATTAATCCAGAGGATGTTGCAGCAGAGTTTGAGACTCTAGAGAACATCCCAACTTTTTTTGGTTTCCGTTTATAATTTCTTTCTCTCTCCTCTGCTTCGCCTGTGGGACTTCTGTTTTCGTAAAAGATTCGCTGTACTTAATTCACTCTCAGTCATGGACCGGTCGACGTCTTTGGATATAGAAGCGCTCAAGGTAAGACCCTCGCTCCCCAACGGCTCGCATTTGCTCCAGGGAGATAGCTGCGATCCCCCGCTGGATGTGTGGATGGCTGGATAGATGATGGCCTGTTAGATATCTAGTGGTGATGTGTGGTTGGTGGGAAGACTCTTATCACTGCGTGGCTGGTTGGATTAATCAGCAGCAGAGTGATGAAGGGTAAAGCTGGTGTGCTGGGTGACTGGTCTAAGGACCGGATGGCTGAACAGGTGCCTGTCTGGGTTTGGTTCGGTGACCCATGGCTTTGGAATGCTGGGGAGCAAGTCTGAGGCGCAGTAAACAGAGAGGATTGGTACTCTCGGACTACCCAGCTCTAGGTTGTTGCAACGCTCTCCAAGAGCACAACTCTTTCTCTCCCTCCCTCCCTCTCTCTCTCTCTCTCTCTCTCGCACACACACACACACACACACACACACTCCTATGCTGGCAAGGGAATAAAGAGATGGAGAGAGAGGGGGAGTGTGTATGTCAGTATTCGGTGCGTGGGGTGAATTTCAACTTGCTTTGTCTGCACGGAGAGTTGTTGTAGAGAGCTGCTGTGGAGGACGCTGGGACGCTCAGTAGACGGGACGGATTTCCCCGACAGGGTGGCAACCCACTGTGTCAAAATTTTAGGAGAGAGTAGTGAGTGAAAGAAAAGTTCACCTCGCTCCTGCTCTCTCTCAAATCACTCGACCTCATGTTAATTCCACAGTTCAGTGCAGGCTATTAAAGTGAAGTCCACGATTCCTAACTGTCAAGGGAAAAACAAATACTCTGCCTGTATCTGCTTGTGCCTATCAACTTGTGAGTAGGTGCGGTTGTGTGCGTGCGTGTGTCCTGTATGTGTGCATACTTGAGAAGAAAGTTATGCAAAAACATGCAAATGGCTCTTTGGGAGCAGTTGTATCAGGGGAGCTTTCAGCACCTTTTCCCTCTTTACCAATAGTTTGTAAATGTATGTGCAGATTTTTCTCATAAATATTTTGTATATAAGCTGTTCATAATGTCCCTTAAAGCCAGAATGTAAAGTATTTCCCACAGCAGAAATACAAACTCCATGTTAAGAACCAAAAACACGCATCAAGCAAGCAATACCATTAGCAATAATAAGCCAGTCACTATCACTTTATATGCCAATATTATATGCTGAGGGCGGCATGGTGGAACAGTGATTAGAGCTGTTGCCTCACAGCAAGAAGGTTCTGGGTTGGAGCCCCTGTCAGCCCAATGCCCTTCAGTGTGGCGTTTGTATGTTCTCCCTGTGCCTGTGTGATTCTCTCTGGGTTCTCCAGCTTCCTCACACAGTCCAAAGATTAGGTTGATTGGCGACTCTAAATCGCCTGTAGGAGTGTGAGTGTGCGTGGTTGTCTGTCTCTGTGTCAGCCCTGTGATAGACTGGCGACCTGTCCAGGGTGGACCCTGCTTCTTGCCCAATGTGGGCTGGGATTAGCTCCAGCCCCCTGCGACCCGGTTCAGGATAAGCAGTAAGGATAATGGGTGGATGAATGGATATTATATATCACAAATGTAATGTAAATCAAGTGTCATACTGAGTTTTCATCAAGGAATGAAAATTGTGGGTGGAAATGTCCACTTTCTATGTGCGGTTGCTATTACCAGTAACCAGTAATTGGATAAATCAGCAAATCAATAACATTCTCAAAGGGTTTGACATTTCTAGTAGCATTTTATGTGATCAAAACTGAAATGGGGACCTCAATAAAGGACTGATTCAATGCTTCAAATTGAGTTTGACTCTGCTTGCTGGTTGAAGATTCCAAAGATGGAAAATGACATTCTGATTTAAAAAATGACCTTAACTGTTAGCCAGTGAACTTGACCTGCACAGTGGTGTGAGTATTGGTGTTGTTGTCACATGTAGGGGCTGTGTGCTACTTTCTGATGTCATGTTTGGTTTGTGGCAATTGTTGGCTTTTGTTCAGGCGAATGAAATTATATCAGTGTGTAACAAAAATGAGAGCAAGTGAATACTGTATTTAGGAAAGTATAGCTTATCTGTTAATAATATATTCTGACCTAAAAACCAGGCTCGATTTGACTTGTTAAAAACAAACAAAAAGCTGAGTTTGTCATCTTTCATAACTGTAACAGCACATTTATGAGAGTTTGCATGATGACAGTGTTTGCCATTGTGTTTATGGCTCTTTCTATGATAACAAAAGTCTGTAAAGCTTGCCGGAGCAATTTTGTCATTAATATCAGTGGAGCGCTTGTCATTCTGCCTCCCAATGTAGTAGTGCTATTTCTGGAGATGCTCTTAGTAGAAGAGAGAAGAGACACACGACCATATGGATCATATAGGTACTTGTAATTTTAATTTGTAAGTACCTGTTGTGGATGGCATGGTGATTCAGTGATTAGCGCTGTTGCCTCACAGCAAGAAGGTTCTGTGTTAGCGCCCCAACCGACGTGATACCTTTCTTTATGGAGTTTGCGTGTTCTTCCTGTGCCTGTGTAAGTTTTCTCAAGGTGCTTCCTCCCACAGTCCAAAGACATGCAGCTTAGGTTGACTGGCGACTCTAAATTTCCTGTAGGAATAAGTGTGGGTGTGTGGTTGTTTGTCTTTAAGTGTCAGCCCTGTGATAGACTGGCGACCTGTCCAGGGTGTACCCTGCCTCTCGCCCAGTGTCAGCTGGGATTGGCTCCAGCCCCGTGCGACCTTCTTCAGGATAAGTGGTATAGATATTGAATGGATGGGTGGATGTACCTGTTGTTATTTGCGGTCCTAAATAAAAGCACCCTACAGGTTTGATGAGTGACTGCACATTAAGTGTTTGGGTTTGCAGCTCCAAGTTAAAAATGTTGCCATTCCCAGTTCTTTTTTACAAGTAATTAATATGATTGTGCAAAATCTCCTGCTGCTCAGCTTTATTAGTCTAGCACGCCGCCTGTTGGGTTTAAAGGATTTCAGTCGACTTCCACCAGTGGATTTATCTATCTGCTGGCTGATCTCTGCAGAGCTGGTGTCATATCCTTGACAGTGCTGACAGTCTCTGAGTACTAGTGCATGTGTAGTTGGCCCTCACACACACACACACACTGTCTTCTGCTGTGCACTCTATTTATAGTGACAGTTAGGAATGTGTGTGTGTGTGTGTGTGTGTGCATGCTTATATTACTAACTATGTAAATGTAAACTTTAGGGTAACAACTTGGTTGACTTTTAAGATAAGGTTAAGTTTTGGTTTAAGTTAAGGCTTCAGGTTAAGGTTAAGGGCAGGGTTAGGGTTAGACAGGTAGTAGTTATGGGCAGGGTTAGGGTGAGTCTCCAGGCAATACATGTATGTCAATGTAAAGTTCCCTTGAGGGATGAATACAAATGAATGCGTACAGGTTTGCTGGCAAGCTGGCCCTTCAAACTTTGAAGATGAACTGGATGAGCCCCTGACAATGAACCCCAGGTTGCTTCTGATGGCCAGAGCAGCACCGTGCAGGGACAGCGCCACCATTGGTGTTTGTGTGATGGTGGTGCCACAGATGCCTTCCTCAGTTCTGTACCAGAGACAAATTCTTTGTGTGTGTAACATACTTGGCCAATAAAAGTGATGATCATTGTCTTTATGGAGACAAACAGACACACACACACACACATACATTTGTATAGCTATCTTTGTGAGCCTAGTCATTGATATAATGCATTCCGTAGCCCCTAACCCTAACTTTAACCATCACAACTAAATTCCTAACCCCAAACCTTCACCTAATACCTAACCTAAACCTAATTCTAACACTTAACCCTAAAACCAGATCTTGACCCTCAAACAGCCCTTTGAAGGGATCTGAGAAAGTGAGGACTGGGAAAAATGTCCTCACTTTCCCAAACTGTCTTCATTCCCATGGTTTAAATTTCAAACCAGTCCTCACTCTGCCAGCCATAGAAATACACACACACACACACACACACAAATACTTGTGCTTATATCTTTGACATAGTGCATTCACTAGCCCCTTACCCCAACACCCAACCTAAACCTAATTCTAAATTCAACCCTAAAACCAAGTCTTAGCCATTAAAATCTGTTTCAGGAAGTGAGGACCAGCCAAAATGTTGTCACTTTCCAAAACTATCCTCACTCTGTGGCAAAAAAACAACAACTTTTTTTGGTCCTCACTATAGAGCAAGTACAAGAACACACACACAGCACTCCAGCCTAATGAAAAGCCAGATTTCTTTCATCCAACCAAGTGTGTGCGTCTGTGCATGTGTTTGTGCCTCAAAGTGCATTCAAATGAACAAGGACAATATTGGGACACTGGGGCGACACTGCTTTATATCAAATATACAAGCGATGTGTGTGTCTGTAGTATTCTTGTAGTTGCTACTTAATGAGGACCATATTTTTTTTCTTTTGCTACAGAGTGAGGGCATTTTTGGAAATTGACAACATTGGCCAACATTTGGCCATTCCTCACTTTTTGAAACTTCTTTTTCAGGGTTAAGACTTGCTTTTATGTTTCAGGTTAGAATTAGGTTTAGGTTAAGGTAACGGCTACAGTTAGGCATTTAGTTCTGGTGGTTAAGATTATGGTAAGGGGCTAAGGAAAGCATGAGTAAATGAGTGTCCTTACAAAGATAGAAGCACAAGTATGTGTGTGTGCATGCACCTTTATATTATTTACAAGGAAATCACTGAATTTTAGGTTGGCAACATGGTTTAAGGTTAGGGTTAGGGTTAGTAGCAGCTATGGTTAAGGTTAGTATAAATCTAAAGGAAATGTAAGTTACCGGTAATGTAAAGTCCCCACAAGGAATGAAAACATAGTGTGTGTGTGTGAGACAAGACCTGCTTATAAATCAGTGCAGCTTTCAATATCAGTGGAACAGTTTAAGTGCTATTGATCTTTAGTAATAGCTGCACCATAAATTATATTCAATATAATAAAGGCAGTCAGATGGAAATTGTTCCTCTACACCAGAGGCTCTCAACTTGTAACATGAACAGGTATTGGAAAAGCAAAAAAAGTTTAATTTT